CGGGTCTGGCGGTAGCACTTTTAGCTGTAGCTTAGCATAGATCATTGAATCTGATTAGACCGTTAGCTAGGGCTGGGCAAAAAATCAAATGCGATTTTCATGCGCATCTCGTCAGTAAACCCGCTCCTGTGATTAGTAGTAAATCTCCAGCACGTGCTATCAGATGGAGCAGCATTTACTACACAGAGCCGTAGTTCACTGACAAGCTACACAAAATCGCGTTCAAAATCGCAGGCGGCTTTACTGACGAGATGCACATGAAAATCGCATTGTTTTTTTTTGCACAGCCCTACCGTTAGCATCTCGCTCAAAAATGACCAAAGAGTTTCTCTAAAAATAGTCCCCAGCTAGGTAATTTCCAATAAGCCTATTTTCAGGCGCTGCGTAATATCATTGCGCCTGCTGCACCTATGGTACGGCAGCAAAGTTCCTTGATTATTACGCCGGAATTAGAGTATAGTTCCTAGCCATATCGGACTAGAAAATCGCAACTTTTCATTTTCCGTTTGAGCTGGTTCAGTTGGTCTCTTAGCCTGACTAGGCCCAAAATCCTTTTAAAACTAGCCAACAGACCAGCAAAACCAACTTTTACTGGTTTAAGATAGCTTAAGATATATTCTTACAAGCTTTTCAGTCTCGTAAGTGGATAAAATAAATGTTTTGATTGTAAATGTAATGAAAACATCATATTATAAGGCAATGTGCCTGTGTTTCCCAAAATAACCTTGTTCTTTCAGTCTGATTGATCCGGCAGTTAAATGCCAGTGCTATTTTTTTCTTTGGCTGTTGAGTGACAACAAAGCACCTTTTCAATATCTATTATTTATGAAGGCATTTCACGTTACCTGGTCCAGCATGCGCCCCCTCGTTCAAGGCTGCATTTATCTATGCATTAGCATGGTGTGGCATTAAAAGTTTTTCTGTTCTGTCAGTATTAGAGACGCCCTTGCTGTTCCATTACCAGGCAGCTTGTACTTTATGCTAATTCCTCAAGCGACCACACTGCTTTCCTGAAGTGAGATGATAAAAAAAAAGGGTGTTGGACAAGAAAAAGTCTTTGCCAGAGCCTCTGGCAAATTACAGTTGAGTGTGAGAAGCATGTCCTCCCTTGAGTCGAATGTGCTGCTGGATATATACATGCAGAGAGAAGAGGAGCCAATGAACTTCTACTGCAGCTACAAAGATATACTGTATTGTGTGAGAGAGTAATAATGAGAGAGAATAGCAAACGTTCAACAAGACTACGACAAGCAGAGATAATTTCTTCCTCACGTGACCTATACTCAACTCTGAAGGCACTAATAATGCTTCTAATAGGACAGAATGAGGAAAATCACATCTGAACAGAATAAGACGTTTGTATTTTCTTATTTTGGTTTTGATGTGCTACATATTTGCTATGCTCAAACCTGATGTTTGATGCACAGGCACTAATAATGCTTCTAATAGGACAGAATGAGGAAAATCACATCTGAACAGAATAAGACACGTTTGTATTTTCTTATTTTGGTTTTGATGTGCTACATATTTGCTATGCTCAAACCTGATGTTTGATGCACATTTATGACAACTGGTGATGCAAAAGAATAGTGTTCAAATTTTAGTTAATCTAAATAACTATTATTAACACAGAACTGCAAACACTTTTAATATAAGCACTACAGACAAAACAAAACAAATGAATAGGCTGAAATCTTCTTGCATTTCTGAATGTCATATTGAAAGACAAGAGTACAGATTACTCTAATTCTGTCTAAAATTCATTGAATGTGACATTGACTGTCAAATACATGTCTATCATCTCCATGGCACATAATGGCTTTGTAGTTAAAACATGTCAGTTGACACCTTTATTTCAAAGCTCCCCGAGCCTACGCAAACACAGTACAAAGCGTCCCACTGTGTGATTCTCACATCCTTTTTAGCACTGAGGAAAAAGCTACAAATTATCAAGCTTGTGTGATGCTACATCCACACAATTTGTTTACAGTGCAGTTTATCATTATCTTCTGTGATCCTCTTGTTGTGTTTTTGGGCTCTGCATTCTGAATGTACACGAAAAGCTTAAATTAGTGCAAGTAAAAAGTGATTTTCTTTCCTAGTAATTTTCTCCATAGGCATTTAAAAATTCTTAAGTGAAGAGTTCTACACCAAAACTAAACTAACCAACAACATTATATCACAAACTGCAGTTGGGTTTTTTTAATTAGGTTAAAAATAACTAAAAAAAATACAGCTAACTAACACAATAAAACACTGATAACATAATAATAGTAAACTGTGGACTAGCTTTGGCTCTTCCTGTTGACTTGAATGGTGATGCTTTCCGTTTGTCAGTTGATGACCTTTCATTTTTAACCAGAAATGTGCACGCTCGGAACACGCGCTGCCACAGATGGAGGTTTGGCTAGGACCGGTGAAATTCGGCACAACACCGGTTCCAGAATTAAACAACATATTTTATGTTCCGTCCATTGCCAATCATTGCTATTTCGAGAGTGAATACCGCATAATATGCGGATGTCATTCCTGAAACTTTGCAGGGTGTAGCCTATGTGTCCGAAAAAAGAAAGTTTCATACAAATTCTGAATGGATTATACCCACGCTGCAAAAACACGTTGAGGGTATTTAGCGCTTGGCTAAGCGCCGACATCAGGGATTCCATGACTAATAATTTGGGGGGCAATTGCCCCCCCCAATGTCGCCCATATATATATATATATATATATTTAAATTCATGATAGGTCCATCTTCTTGAATGGTTTGTTATTGTTCAAAATCTATTTCTTTGGAAAATTAATGGGATTTTTACTTCTAGAACACTCCTGTTGCTCTCTATTGAGAGACAAAGAGAAACATATTGTCTGGATGGGTCTTCTCTCTTTC